CCAGACCCCCCCTCTCCCCCAGAAAGTCAAAGATACTCATTTGCAAAGACTGACTTGTACTTCAAAAGGTTTCCTGTGGAATTAAAAGCCCTCATGGTTAAAAGTGAGCTCTCCTCCTGGGTTATATACAGGGTTTGTGAGGTGGGGGGGTTGAAGCCATGGCTTTCTGAGGCCATCGGAGTCTCTGTGCAGCCAGTCCCTCCTCCAGCAGCCACCCCAAATCCAGCACCACGCTCTGAACCCCAACAACACCCGGCCTGGCTGGGGAGGGTCTGTCCCCTAAATGGAGGGGACAGGGGCACTCGAGAGCCAGGAGAAAGCAGAGACCCCACACTGGCATCCCTGCAGCGACTGCTCCTCTCAGGGTGCCAAATGACCCAACGTCTGGGGCAGAGGGGCACACTCAGTGTCCAGCTCTGTGCCCACTGCCCTGCCCAGAGCTGGTGGCACAGCCCCTGTCAGGCTGCCCCAGCTTGGTGGGAAACACAGACAAAGGGCTGTGCCTGAATCTGAAGCGTTTTGATGCATCCCTGGATGGGGAGAAAGGGTCGTGGGCTTTTTTCTTTTTTAACTAGCCCAGAAATGCCTGTAAAAGTGTGCATGCAGGGGGGTGGGCATGAACATGGTCACACTGCTGCTCGCCCAGCCCTCAGTCAAAGTTGTGGGTGGCATTATTTGGAGCAGGGATGCTGAGCACTTGGAGGGGGAGGCTAGGGGTGTACTCCCTCATCCCTAACTACACCGTGTGTTATCTCCAAAGCTAGGTCATGCACTGGGTTTACAACCCTCCTCCCCCAGGCCAGCTCCATCAGGGGAGCTTTGGTGGGGTCCAGGGCTGGGCTGTGCACCCACCAGCCATCCTAACCCTGAGGGAATCACTCCTGTCACCCAGGAACCAACAACCAGCCTGAGGAGTGAGGTGGGCTGGGGACAGGGCAGGGACACAGAGCTGCAGTGGGGACGGGGTGGCAGGAGGGAGGGCAACAGGAGTCTGGCTTCGCTGTGGGACCACGGGGTGGGGGTGTGGGCTGTCTGTGTGTGCCCTAGGGCCAGGAGCCATGGGCTGCAGCTTGCCCCCACCACAGGGCAGCCGCCACTC